TGACATATTACTAGATTTTTTTTTTTTTTTTTTTATCAATGGTACATTAGTACTGAAATATTATATAAGGCATGTACGATAGTGATTATAAGAATTGATTTTTTTATCGTTAAATAGGAAAGTAAGTCCCATCTGTGAGTAAAGAAATAAAAAATGGCAGCTGAAATAGTGAAATAATGGTAAAAAAAAAAATTAAATTTTTGGGATGAAAAATCACTATCAAACGGAGGCTATATGTTTGTATTTTTGTTATTTATTTATCTAATTGATGTGACTTGAACTTTTATATTTTGTTATTTTTTCCCCGTTAAATGAAGCGAGAAATAGTGATGGCAATGAGCCGAGCCTTTAACCCACAAGCTCGCGGGCTGAGCCGAGCTCACGAGTGGCTCGTGAGCTCGTGATTTTTTTAATTTTTTTTTTGGGCAATTTTACACATTTTGGACATTTTTTTTAAAAAAATAATATTTTTTGATTAGGTGGGCTCTTCAAAATGGCTTGTGGGCCGTGTGCCCACGAGCCGCTCATGGGCCATGTGCCCACGAACCGCTCATGGGTTTGACGAATCGAGCCTGGATTGAGCCCCTGCTCAGCTCGGAATGACGAGCCCAAACCATCCATGAGCCGGGCTTTGACGAACCGAGCGGCCGAGCCGACGAGCCGCTCGGCTTGTTTGACATCCCTAGTGAGAGAGGGCAAAGGGAGATGGTAAGGATTGAACCGCCACATCCTATGTTAGAATTTTCTACTAGTGTTTTTCCATTTAAAATAAAATTTTCAAAAGACAAGTGAATTATATAAAGTCATACAACAGTCTAAGAAAAGACCTTTATTAATTTCACAAAAATCTATAAAATGTGTCAATAAAAGTTAGCGAATTTTGCAAAAGTCTATCACTTAAAAAAAAAAAAGGAGTATAAAAATCTAAATTGAATATAACCCATAGGTAGTTAAATATAATTTTTTTCACATATCTTGTAGGACAAAAATTTATTATTCATTTGTTATCCACAAATTTTTTTAGTTAAAAACACTACCAAACATGGTTGCATTGGTATTCAACTTAAAAGAAGAAAAACCACATTGTATATATGTAAGAGTTCAAGTTCTTATCACTAACTTTTTCGGTTTTTTTTTTTTTTTTTTAATTTTTTTTTTCAATTTCTAGTCTGAGTATCATATAGAGATCGACCACATTTTGAACTATATGTCATCTAAAGAGAGATTGACATACCTAAGATGTCTTTGCAGAGAAAAAAGATAATTTTTTCTACGATTAGTTAAATTTAATTTGTTCAATGTAAATCATAAAAATATAAATTTACATGTTATATATAGAAGTCGTTCGATATAGTTTAAATTTTAGTCATATAAATTTTCTTATTTTGTGTTTGAATATTGGAATGATTAATGTATGACATTAACATAACATTTATTTGTATAACATGTTCAATATTTAATAATAAAATTTTCAAAAAAATACAAATAAATTTTCAAAAAAAAAATCACTTTCTTTTTTAATTATTTGTTTTTACTTTTTTTTTTTTTAAAATTTGGAAGTATAGTTACAATTTGTTTTTTATTTTCTTTTCTTTATTTTTGTTTATTTAAAAATGATAGTATATTTGTCATTTTACAACTTTTAATTGAGAAAATTGATGAAAATAATGATTTTTACAATGAAATAAGAGTGAAAATGTCAAAAAATGAAACGTGTGGACGTTTTGTACAATAATAATGAAATATATAGATGTTTTGTGCTAATTATCCTTTCAATTAAATATTTTGACTAATTTTTACTTTTTAAAAAAATTTGGCAGTATGATTGCAATTTATTCTTTAACTTTTATTTTCTTTTTTATTTTTTTAAATATAGAGTATATTTGTCATTTTACACGAAAAATTTGATGAAAATGATAATTTTCACAATAAAATGTGAATGTAAGGGTAAAAGTACCAAAACATGAAAGGTGAAAATGTTTTGCACAATAACATTGAAAGGTAAAATACGTTTTGTGCTAATTACCCATTGTCTAAAATAGTAAACGTCTTATATTTTAAAACTCTATTGAAAATGCTCTAAAAGAATTGTAGCAATTAGATTCTTTAAAATCATAGATATGACTTATATGGTATTCCTTCAAACCTTACAAGGCTCGTAACTTTCGTCTATCCAAATTGTTCAAATCCACTATTAGACCATCATAAGGAAGATTCGAAGATTTGCAAGGAAAAAAAAAATGCTCTAATTCAAAAATATATTGTAGGCACATTAATCTGTGGCCTTTTCTTCTCGAACAAATCATATTCATATATTATTATTCTAACTTTTATCGTACTTGTTTCTCTTGTTACCTGGTACGTAGAAGAAGGTTTCAAACATAATCAATGATCCCCATAGACTAGACAATTTTATATGTGTGTGCGCGTGTGCGCCCCTTTAAAAATTTACACTTACTAAAGTTTACCTACAATGTGAATTATTTATTCGGTATGACAAAAGATGTGAATACAGATGCAATTACACACTTGTTTCGGCCAAGAGTTGTACATATCGTATGCACCGTGCTTTATCGAGCAAGAGCATGTTTGGCTAATTAAAAAGTAAACTTTTTAAGTATATTTCTTTAAGGAATAATTTAAGTTTTAAATTAGTGAAAGTTAGACTTAAGCAATTTAATTATTGTGATAAAAATAAGATTAAGCAAGTGGTATTTTTTACTGATAACTTTGCTTACTGTTAGAACCCATTTAAATAATAATAATAATAATAATAATAATAATAATAAATCTCAAATTGATTTCCAATCTCCCATTTCATAAGGTTAACAACTTTTATCAACTTTTCAGTAATATATTTAATTTTTCATTGAAGTATACTAAAAATATAATGTTGAGCTAAACAAAACTGGGGCTTTTTTTTCCCCTAACTTTAGTAACATAATATATTCATTAATTGGTACTATTTTATTATTGATGGTTAGTGCATGTTTGAGTCAAAATTATTTTTTGTTCATATATTTTGCGAGACGCAAAACTATTATAATTTAGCCCACGTTTGCCTAATTTTTTGAAATTCATTTTTCCTCAAATTATTTTTTTAGTCATATATTTTATGGGACTCACAATTTTTATCAACTTTTTAACGGTAAATTTCACCACTTTTTATCAAATTTTATTGAAAATATAATTTTTAAGTAATCTAAATGAAATTTATTATTCACACATTCTATAAAACCTATAATTTATAATCACTTAAATTTTAATTTATTGATTACCAAACATCCACTCAAATTTGGGCTTAAATTCACAATTTAGCTCCTGTTTGACGCTTTTTTTTTGTTCGTTTTGCAAATTTAATGTACAATGAATTGATAATAAAAAATGGTAAGAGAGTCTAACAATCATATGCCCTATCTAAAAAAAGGGTTAAACCCTAACTTTAAGGGTCCCCCACCACCCCTGTCCTGAAGTATCGTGAGGGAGGTAAATCGCAGGTTATGCCTCCAAGGGTATAGGGTAGAAGGCTGCTTGTACACTTGTACTTACCCAATAGCCAAATTCATATTTCAGGATTCGAACCCTTGACGCAGCAGCCTCAAGCAAAGTTGGATTTCTCCACCCTCCTCTTTTACCACTTGAAGATGTGCCCTGGGAGCAATCATATGCCCTATCTGATTTTATGTCAAAGTGTCTAATGCATTAAAATACCAATTCTACCCTCATACAAGTGAATGAGCAATGAAGCCAACATATTAGTGGGCCATAGTGGGTAGACATCACCATGTCAATGTACTTTTGAATTTGACAAAACAATATTTGAAAATTTTTCATATGAATAATGTTTGTCTCCTAGAAAATGTATGACTAAGAGAATGTTGGGCATATCCGAATGCGGTTAACAGGTGGTTTACAGAAAATTTGGAAAATGCTGAGGTGGAAGTTAAAAAATCAAAATATAATAATTGATATTAAAAACGAAAAAAATGCCGGAGACCGACAAAAGCAGTAAAAGCGAGAAAACCTTCTTCATTTCCCATTCCATTCCCTTCTTTGGTAAAGCGGGAATTACATCCATTTTCTCACCCGTCCTCTCCGTCAACATATGTTGACACGCTAAAGGTGCAGCTCAATTCGAATAGTCCAAAGAATGAAGTCCAATTGGGTAATTCAGGATAAAGGCTCAAATAGGATTATTAATTAATGTAGTAGAAGCCCACGAACGCAGTAATACCATCGCCCAAATTTGCAAGACGCCCAAGATCTGAGTGAATGAAGTGCCTTGCAGTCGCCCAGAGTTATGACCCTGTTCTCTCCCAAACCTTCGAATCGCCCAAGATCTTAGCAAACATAAGACATTATGGTTATCCAAAAGTGTAGTTATCGAAAAAGTTATTGGGTAATCTTATCACGTTCCAAGATTCAAGGAGTTCAATTGAAGATGGTTGAACGACAAAGAGTAGTGGCAACATTTAGAGACGGCAGTTCCACGATAAGTTGGCCACCATGAAGAAAGTGGGTAGTTATAAAGCAATTAAGTAGTTTCTAAGCGGTTGATCACAAAGAGAACATCAAAGGAATATAAAAGGAAGAAAAGATATAGAGCAAAAGACCTCGAATCAAACACTCTCAAACAGAGAATATGTAATTTCAATTCCTTAGTTTAGATTTAAAACATTTCTTTTCAATACTCGTGTGCTTGCGCCCCTTGGAGGCATTCTGTTTAAATTTCAATTGTAAAGTCATCGCCAATAAAACACCCCTTTTTGAGACTTTGTCTCAAGAAATTTGTTCCTTACACAATCGTCTGATCCCTTTTTAATTGTTAGCAAATACCCGCGCGAAACAATTTGCCACGCCCAGTGGGACATTGGTGTTTGGTATTGAAGATACAAGAAGTGAAACAATATGTCTCAGAAATTCGATAAGGAAGCAGCAAGTCAGGGAGGAGTCCAGTCTGTGATCGAGCGATATGAGGAGCAGCATAGCTCTCCACGAACAGATAGACAAAATCAGAGCAATCACAGTTGTTACGAACCAATGACAGAGTTGAGTCCTCGAACCATGCATGCATTACTCGGAGAAATTCACACAAGATGTCGTTGAACAGGTAAATCTACGAAGTATTCATAATATGGAAAGATTTACCCAGAATGGGAATGCACATTATGACAATATGACCAAACAACTGAATACTTTGAACGAAATAATGAATAAGTTAGTAGGCCAAATTTGTCAGCCAGTTGTGCCTCACAAACCACTTTCAAACTAGGACAATTGTGGGACATAATCCCTCAGTCCTAAGTTTAAATCAAGGGATAGAACCACCTTTTGACCCCTCTACTTCAAACCAGGGGGTGGTTTAACACCAAATCAGAATAGTGGCATTGGTACATCTAACTTGGGGGGTAACCTAAATGTAAGAGATAATGTCCTAAATAATGGGCAGAATACCCCACGTGTTAATGATGGAATAAATGTTCAAGCCAATGGTAACAATGGCCCAAATCATGATAACTTTATTGCCAATCAAGGACCAAGCATCAGGCCTCAAGCAAATCAACCGGTCAACCAACCTGTAGGAATTTCATATGATCCCAACGTCATGTTTAGAAATCAGATTATGGAAATCGTACAGGATCAGATGGTTTTTGTAGTACGTCCTGTCATTAGGCCGACTTACACCAAGCCATATCCTGATTGGGTAGATTAAGCATATCCATGGCCCAGAGGGTTCAAAGTGCCAGAATTTTCGTTGTTTACCGGTTTAGGAGATGTATCTACTCTAGAACACATAGGGCGATTCACATTGCAAAGTGGTGAAGTAACCGATTACCATAAAATGAGGCTTTTCCCTAGTTCATTAACAGGAGTAGCCTTCTCCTGGTTCATCAATTTGCCAGCAAACTCTTTTCAAACATGGCAACAATTGGAGCAATTGTTCTATGCTCAGTTTTATAAGACTGAATCTGAAGTTACTTTGACCGATTTGGCGAATCTACGTCAAATGCCAAACGAATGGGCAGAAAGTTTCCTTCGAAGGTTCAAGATAGTAAGAAGTAAATGTTTTGTACCTTTGCCCGAAAAGGAGTTTGTCAAAATCACTCAAAGTTGTCTAAACTTTGATCTGAAGAAGAAATTCCAAGACAAGGAATTTCTTGATCTTTTTCAATTGAGCGCGAACGTGATTAGGTATAAACGATTAATAAGAGAAGAAGAACAAATGAAAAATTCTAGCAAGGGGACTTATTATAGAGACCCAAATTTTGATGTTCATACCATTAATGACGAGTATTACGATCAAACCGAAATGTGTTTGGCCAAATTAGTTAAAGGAGACACGTATACTTGTCCTATAATGGCTAAGCCTAGGCCATCGGGCAAGGATGAGCCTATGAAAGATGAAAACATAAATGTTAGAACGTTCTCGTTCGATGTAACCAAAGCTGACCTTATATTTGATAAATTATATAAGGATAAGCAAATAAAGTTGAGTGATAAGCATAAATTGCCAAGCCCTGAACAAATTAAGGGTAAAAAATATTGTAAGTGGCATAATGCATGGTCACATTTGACTAACAACTGCTTGGTTTTTCACCATGTGTTACAGGATATCATTGAAAAAGGACGAATTATGTTCGAGGATAAGAGGAAGATGGCAGTGGATGAAAATCCTTTTCCACGGCCACTTGGAGTGAACATGGTGACATCTGATTTCAAAAACAAGTTGCCAAAATTCAAGTTGGTTATAGATGATGGAGAAGAAGACCCTAGACCACATCCCAGTGTCTTTGAACGTATCAAAGGGAAGGAGCCCAAAAAGAACGAAGACGTCCTATGTACAAGATGCAAAAAAGAAGTGAGTGTAAATGCAGAGAAATCAGGGATATGAAAGCATTACCATCGCCCTAGTTTTTTCCCAAACGCTCAACCTGGTAGAAAGCGGGGTAGATCGTTTTATAAGGGACCGCCTTTCGAGAGGCAGTTCAGGCCAGTAAATAATGGGAGAACATTCAGACCGCAACCTCCCCAACCAAATGTATGGCATTTGTTCCAGTATAAGGCTGGAAGGGCGATACCTTTCAATGAGATTACTAGAACCCAACAAAAGCGTTTTCAACGGAACTAAGAGCGAATGATGAGGTAACAACAGGGAATGCTACATCCTAAGGCACCTAGACTACTCGAGGTAGCCAATCAAAATGTTCTCAAAGACAGTGTGGAGACTGGTACAGGCGAACCTATGGAAGAATTACCAGAGACTTCTTCTGGGAGGTCGAAGTTTGAGCGAGACAGAGGGGATAGAGAAGATCCAGATCAGCCCCTTACTATCCAATTTGGTATGTTACCTCCTGTCGTAGCTAATAACTATTTACTAGCCAATGAGTTCAAGAATAAAGAGAAAGGAGAAGAGGAAAATGAGGATAACGAGAGGAAGCATGCATGCTGGAATATGAAGAAGGCCAAACTTCTAGAAAAGCCTACAATGGTGAAAAAGATGATGGTATGACAGACATCGAAGAAGAAATCGATCTGGAAGCGGAAAGGAGAAGAAGAGGAGTATCGTACAATACTCTGTGAAAACAATTACATTGAAAGGGAGTTCGTGAAGTAGACTTATTGGGGGAACCATCTGGGCGTTCTTTCGATTTTTACGTGCTATACGGTACGCTCAAAAGGAAGAAGAGAGTGCCTCGCTCTGAAAAGTATGGATCACCTCCAAGAATAATGCCTCCTCCCACAGGTTGGGTAACTGAAGAAGAAACATTAGAAAATGGTAAAAAGGAAGTTCAGGAGACAGAGGCTCAGTGCGATATGCTGCACATTGACTTATCACAAAAGGGTAACTCGATAGAGGACAAGCAGGAAGTGGAAATAGATGCTGTCGAAAAAGTTATTTTTAAACGACCAGCCATGAAATTGATCAAACACTTGGGGCCATTGTGCGTTAAGACTCTAGTTAACAGCATACCTGTGGCAAAAGTGCTTGTTGACAATGGAGCAGCTATAAACATCATTCCATCTAGGATGATGAGGAAATTCGTGAAGACAGAAGGTAATATGATCCCAACGGAAGTCATCCTGACAAGTTTCAATGGAGGAGCAACTTCAGCTAAAGGTGTTATACCATTGGACATAACTATAGGAACAACTACTAAGACCACAGTCTTCTCTATAATAGATGGTCCCACTAGTTACAATGTGTTATTAGGAAGAGATTGGATACACGGAAGTCGCTGTATGCCTTCATCGCTCCATCAGTACCTAGTTTTTTGGAATGACAAGGGCGAAATAGAGGTGGTGCAGGCCGATCATAAGCCTTTTGTCGTAGAAGCAAACTCAGTGGAAAGGTTCATGTACGAAGAAAATTATGGACCTGTCATAATAGTCCAAGATGGAGAAGAAACTCAGATTGTTGCGCAGAGTGAAGAGCCATTTTCTGTGGATGCACTCACTGAAATGTTCAGTCAGATGAGGCCAAACATAGTGGCCCTGGAAGAGCCAGTAATTGGCAAAAGAATGACCAAGGAGTTTTAAATGAGTTGTAAACAATAAAGACAAATGGCCGATATTCAGGCCTTCAAAGCCAAATTAATGGCTTTCAATAAAGAATGCAAGGACAAGACGAAAGAAGCAACAACCTTGAAAGCATTGAGAGACAAATTGGCAGTGTTCGAGTTGGAACAAAGCATTGGCCGAGAAATCAACAAAGTGGATTGTTTAGAAGAAGAAGAAGAAGTACCTACAAGGGGACTGGACGACGAAGTGATAAGGATCGCCAAGCCTGGATACGCTCAAGCACAAGAGCCCCTGATTAAAGTGAATATTGACAATGAAGGAGAAGACCTCCCAACGTTCATTAGCCAAATGCTTGATTAAGAGGTTAGTGATAAATTAATTGCTTTATTAAAAGAGTACAAAGATTGTTTTGCTTGGGAATATGAACATATGCCTGGTTTAGATAGAGATTTGGTGGAACATAGATTACCAACCAAGCCTAATTTTAAACCTCATAGGCAACCTCCCAGGCGTTTCGCTCCTAATGTACTCCCTGAAATGAAGGAAGAGATAGAGCGATTATTAAAATCAGGTTTTATTAGAACGGCCAGATATGTTGAATGGTTGTCCAATATCGTGCCGGTATTACAAAAGAATGGTAAACTAAGGGTGTGCATAGACTTTAGGAATCTAAACATAGCCACACCTAAAGATGAATATCCAATGTCCACGGTAGATTCTTTAGTAGACTCGACTGCCGGACATGTAATGTATTCCTTCATGGATGGGTATTCAGGATACAATCAAATTTATATAGCTGAGGAAGATATACACAAAACTACCTCTAGATGCCCTGTGTCTCTAGGATGTTTTGAATGGGTAGTTATGCCTTTCGGCCTGAAAAATGCAGGAGCAATTTATCAAAGGGCAATGAATTTGATTTTTCATGATATGATAGGCAAGTTTGTTGAAGTGTATGTAGATGATATAGTGGTCAAATTCCTTAAAGAAGAGGACCATTTTGAACAATTAAGATGTTCATTTGAGCGAATGAAGCAATATAAACTAAAGTTGAATCCCTTGAAATGTGCATTTGGTGTTAATGCAGGGAATTTTCTTGGTTTTTTAGTGCACAAAAGGGGGATTGAACTTAATAAAAATAAAGCGAATGCCATTTTAGAGGCCAAACCACCTAGCAATAAAAAAGAATTGCAAAGGTTTCTAGGTCAAGTAAACTTTTTAAGACGCTTTATTTCTTACTGTGCAGGATGAACGAAAGCATTTTCGCCACTTTTAAAGTTGAAAAATTAGGACGAATTTGTTTGGAAAGAAAAACATCAAAAGGCTTTTGAAAGTCTAAAGACATATTTATCAAGTCCACTAGTGTTGGTGTCACCAATCCAAGGACGGTCAATGAAAGTGTATGTATCGGCTGAAGAAGAATCAATAGCTGAAATGGTCGCGCAGGAAGACCAATTTGGTGAAGAAATGGCGATTTACTACTTGAGTAGACGGTTAACAAAATGTGAATGTAATTATTCTGCCATTGAAAAATTATGTCTTGCATTGTATTTC